TTATCTGCTCCAGATACCAATTCTTTTCTTTTCTTTTATTCAATTTATATCCCACCCTATCCCACAAGCGGGCTCAGGGCGGCTTACGACACTGATAAGACAAAAAATAATAATTCATAAGACCCTCAACAATTCCAGTTAAAAGATTTCTGATGGCCGCATAACACTGACTAACTATTGTGCCTGCTGCAATAATGTCAGGGATGACACATTTGTCAAAGAGACCAAAGTCAGACGATGCTTACTATGTGGCCAGGGACTACCAAACAGTGCTACTCAGAAAAATGTAAGGCTCTTCTGGGCACATATGGGGAGAGATGGTCCCGTAGGTATGCTGGTCCCTGGCCACATAGGACCTTGAAGGTTAATACCATGACCTTAAATCTGATCTGGTACTCAACTGGCAACCAATACAATTGTCGCAGCACTGGCTGAATGTGCATCTGCACAGACATACCAGTCAGCAGGCGTGTCACCGCATTTTGTACCAGCTGAAGCTTCTGGGTCACACTCGCCGGTAGGCCTGCATAAAGTGAGTTGCAGTAATCTAACCTGGAAGTGATCACTGCATGGATCACTGCCACGAGGTCATGGGGGGAGAGATAAGGAACCAGCTGCCTGATAGAATCCCTACAGACTATTCTCCATAGATCTCAACTTTCCCATGCCACATACACCTTGAAACCCTCACCTCATCATGCCATCCAAACATCAGTCTTGATACTTATCCAAACCCCACTACCCTTACACTTCTATGATAACACCAAGCCCATTCCCCTTATCTTCTTTCTACACACAAATTCCTACTTCAGTGACACTCACCAGCAGTATAGTTAATGTAGGGACAGAAGAGACCTCCCTAGAAGATTGTTGATTTGTATTGTTCCAAGGGAAGCAAGGAGTTGCCAGGCGCATTCCTGCAACCCCCAAAAAACTTTGGGCAGGTTGGACATAGGGAAAAAGATGTCTACATTCCAAGGTAACTTCCTGCAAAAACCTGGAAGTGATGTCACAGCACTCCAGGATTTCACCAATCCATGGAAATTGACAGATCCCTAGAGCCTTTGTAATGTCATTTCCAGTTTTTTGCCACATGTGATGTCACTACATACACGACATCATTTAAAAAAAAAACACAACAACCACCATTTCCCCTGACTGCTCATTCAGGTAGCAGCAGGGGGCACTAGGTAGCAGCAGGAGATCACCTGTTTTAGCAGCTTAAATTGGCAAGCCTAAAGGAACAACATATGGCAGAGTTTAGGACAGGATGTAGAAGGCTTAACACCCTCCAAAACAGCCTCAGGAGAGAGGTAGCACTCTCTATTATTCACCTCTTTTTCATCATGCGATACCATGACAAATAGTGTTGGGTTATCACCCAGCTTCCCTCACTCACTCACTTTTTCAGAAGCAACTCCTCACTGTGCCCCCACTGACACATTTAGCCCCAAAGTTTACCTCCTACCTACCTCGTTGGAGGACTCAAGGGAGGCCAAAAGCTGCTGCTGCATGAGGCAAGCTGGTTAAGGTATGGAGGAGACACACTCTTCATGTGCTTCCCTTCCCAGCTCTATGCCAACAGCATCCCTGGCCAGGCAGGGCTGTCCACTTGCAACTTAAGCCTTGTCAAGCCAGGCAGCTTCTTCAGGCTAGCAGCCCTTTCCCCAACCCTCTGCCTCTGGCCACACCGCTCCAGAGTCTACCCAGCCAGGAGCTGCCACCTTATCAGCCTCCTGGGGCTTCACTGGGCCATGCAGCTTCCAACTGGGTTGTTGCCATTCCACAGCTACTGTGGCTGCCACTTGCACCATTTGGGCTTGGTGCCACCTCCTCCAAGCCTGCACTTCTGTCCCAATGTCTGGTATTTGTTCAGGGTCCCCCCCCCCCCAGACAATCAGTGAAATAGTGGAGTGTTCATGTACCAGACAGCTGGCAACCCTGCATTGGTCATTTCATTTTAAGGCCAATTCCCGGATTCCCTCTAGAACAGAAAGGCAGGAATCAATCCCTGTGACTGACCCCAGCAAGTCATACAGATCATGAGAAAGCAGGACTATGTTAGTACGCCCCACAGCAGTGTTCTTCAGTGCTGCTGAAGGCTAGGTGAGGCCTATAGGGACAGTCCTGCCCCTGATACACATTCAGTGCCTCTTCTTTGGCAGTATTCTCAGGGCTTGCACTGCAGTCACTTGTGAAAGACTGAAGAAAGATATTAAAGATAATTATTTGTTTTGTGTGGACAGAGATTGTTGTCTCACAAAAACCAATATGGGATAATAATCTTAATTTTGCAGACAAGCCTTAAATTGAATAATGAAGTTAGTTACTTCCTTGAAAAACTCAGATATTATCTTGCCTACAGTCAATCAGTAATGTAATAAAGGTCTTGACAATAGCAGTGGAGTGGAAGAGATCCTAAAATGAACACTGTGCTAGAACTTAGAGAAAGCAGATAGTATAAAACCTTTCAAAGGCTTTAATATAAATGCCACCTGTGAGTGCATTTAGGACTGTAATATCCTCTGAGCAATCCATCTTGCTGCCAATTTCTCCATATAAAGTATAAAATAACCTCAGTTTGATACTGTAGAATGAAAAAGTAAGGCATTCGTTCTTCACAGACCAACAAAAAGATTTTACTGGTGTGATTCTATTTAAATAACTACCAAACTGCCTCTCCTCAGATTGCACGAAAACATGTATAATGCCTGATCTGGGCCTTTGGAAGTGCAGAACAATGCATTTAATCCAAAGAGGAAAAGGATCTTAACTGAGGATGTTCCCCCACACATACTAGTCTTATGTTCGATCATGGTGGGCAGCCATGTTGTTCTGAAGCAATCGAACAAAGTTAGAGTCCAATGGCACTTCTAAGACCAACAAAGTTTTATTCAAGGTGTGAGCTTCCATGTGCACGGACAAAAGTATGTGTGCACATGAAAGCTCACGGATCCAGATGTGTTGGTCTGAAGCAGTAGAACAAACTCAGAATCTAGTGGCACCTTTAAGAACAACAAAGGTTTATTCAAGGTATGAGCTTTAGAATTAGAATGGCAGGGAAGGTTCAGACTTATAGCCAGAGAACGAACAGCAAATTAACATGTAACATGATGATGTTCTAGATATGCAAAGTGTCACTAAATAACATTAAGGTTATAAGGTCAACAGTTGTAAAGCAATAAATATGTCAAAGTAGCAGATGGTCACAAACATAGATGCAATCAGTTCCACCAATACAGGGGTCATTTCGTAGAAAAAGAGCTAGGGGAACTCATTAGCATAACTCATTAGCATATGCCACACACCCTGACATCAGGGGCCCAGCGGTGGACCTGCAAGGCCAGCGGGAGTGCGAGGAAGCCCTGCCAAGGCCCTCCCTGGCCCCAGGCAGGCAGGGGTGGGGAGAGGTGGGGAGGAAGCAACTTACCCTCCCTCTTCTCCTGCCTCCTCCTGGCTGAATGAGGGCTGGAAGCGGGGCGGCCAGAAGCAGGGGGCGGGGCTTCATCATGTGCCCCGCCCCCCTGCACCTCACCAGGGGGAACTGCGTTCCCCCGTGTTCCCCCCCGAAATGACCTCTGCACCAATATCCATAACCTGATAAGCACCAACGAGAGGCCTGGAGTATTTGACTTGCCACGTAAAGTATGGAAGACAGCTAATAGAATTTGAACAGGCTTTGGCAGTTGGGCAGACCTGTTGTTTAAATAGGACAAAATACCAGGACCCAAATGCGATTGTGGTGCAGCCCGCCCAACTGTTTTGCATCTGTCACAGGAGTGTGAGTGTTGTGCTTTCAGGGAGATGTGATGGAGCTTTTTGAACTCTTCTCAGCTGCGATTGAGTGGACTGAAAATTTAGATATTAGTATTTGGGGGGATTGCCCAGTCAGTCTGCACAACTGTTGTATCAACTTGGTTACGTATTTTATATTATTATATGCTTCCTGTATGTAGCTCTGCTATGTGAAAAATAAATAAATGACTGAATGAACTTTTCATCCCTTGAAATAGGTCTGTCAAAGCAAAAGGCTTCCAGCATGTTTTAGAGAAAGGGAGAGAAGTAGTTTCATTAGATGAACAAGGCAGTTCAATGGCAGTTAGCAAGCAAATGAATCAGCTTGTTCCATGGAATCTGGTTGAGCATGCCAAGACATTTTGAAATAGGACTTGAAATGTATACTTACTCCTGTAGCACAGAGCCTTATGTTCGATGCATTTTTAATTATCCAGATAAATAATATTGTCCAACAGGCTCCTATATTATTAAGAACAAGATCTGTACTCCCTGTTCGAACATGTAACATGACTTAATTTAACCAAGTGTCAGCCCTGGCTTGTTTTCCATACCAGGATTTGTCTCAGAGGCATGTGAAGTTATAACAAATAGTGCCTCTGGGTATGCACCGAGAGGAATTTCTATTTTAACCCACAACAATTAGCTGTCATACACTGGGATTTAGGAACAAGAATTGCCAGGGCAGATAGTACAGTTTCCAGGAGTTTTTGGCACCAGGGATTTCCCTTTCTGGAAATTAGGCACTGTGGAAAATAACTTGTAGCTATTGAAAAGATGTAGTAGGAGGGTATTGTATTTATTTGAATTCTACCCCTCCCTTCCCGCCTTAGCAGGCTCAGGGCAGCTTATACAAACACTACATAGCTAAAACAGAACTAAGTAAAATCATGACAATATAAATATAAAACATTATAAAGTGCTAGTGCTAAAAAAGTATATTCTTGCTAGATCATTAACGCACTAAAACCAACTGAAAATGACTGAGCAAGAGAATTCGGTACAGAAAACCTTGAAGAGGTATCATGAACGTAGAAAGTATTTGTGGTTCACACTCATGAGTTCTTAGAAAATTGTATTAAAAAAAAAACTGGATTGTTCAGAAAACACTATAATACTGCTTTTTCATGGCTGATTTCTCCCCTGCTCACTCCTTTTGTTACTGCTGTTAACAACAATTAATTGTTGGCTTTACTTCTCTGCAGCTGGATAATCCAGATGAACAAGCAGCACAAATCAGACGGGAATTAGATGGACGTCTCCAAATGGCAGATCAGATTGCCAAGGTAACAAAAGTTCTGACTATGCTGTTGGGTATTGTGACTGGGTCTTTCCTGAATTGGCTTGGTTTTGTGAACACCTCTGGTCAGATTGCTGTTTGTGATAAACCAGAGTCATTTAGCAAACAATAGGTCTGCAATTCCTCTCCACCCCACTTCAGTTTTCCCCGGGGCAGATTCTGTAAGGAAATAATAAATGTGACTGATCTATGCTAGGCATTTCTTCTTTGTGACAAAAATGGAATGGCATGGTTCAGACCTGCTTTAAAACCAGACATGGTAATCCACAGAGGTCATTTCGGGGGGGATCGCGGGGGATCGCAGTTCCCCTGGGTGAGGTATGGGGGGCGGGGCACATGACGAAGCACCGCCCCCTGCTTCCGGCCGCCCCGCTTCCGGCCCTCATTCAGCCAGGAGGAGAAAGGAGAAGAGGGAGGGTAAGTTGCTTCCTCCCTGCCTCTCCCCACCCCTGCCTGCCTGGGGCCAGGGAGGGCCTTCGCGGGGCTTCATTGCACTCCCGCCGGCCTTGCAGGTCCACCGCCGGGCCCCTCATGGGGCTCGGCAGTGGAGCTGCAAGGCCGCCGGTGGCGGCCGGGATCGTTGGGGGCGGGGTGTGTGGCCTTATGACACACTTCCGGTGATGTCAGGGGGTGTGGCCTTATGACACACTTCTGGTGATGTCAGGGGGTGTGGCATATGCTAATGAGTTATGCTAATGAGTTCCCCTAGCTCTTTTTCTACGGAACGACCCCTGGTAATCCGAAAAGATGGGCTGTACAGGAGAGTGCATAGAACAGGGACAACCTCATTTGACCAGACATCCTAGATATTTTCCCCTCTATGCAGAACAGATTCCAGGGCCAACACTGGCTTATCAAAGAGATTTCTTCATATATTACAGTGGTGATGCGGAATCCTCTATAGCGCAATGGAAGCAACTTCCTATGCCTTCAAAATAACATATGAAACCATAGGTTATGAAGGAGTAGTTCATACTGCAGTACCATGCACTTGGCCTGGCGCTTATCAGGTCTGAGGTCTGCATGCAGCAGAAAGAGGTGGTAGAATAAATGAGAATTATTAATGTATGGTGATGTTGAAAAACATCCTCCTTCACCTGCATTGTGGATTGGTACAGTCTGTTTTGCCATCTCAGCACTCTTTGATCTCATTACCTTCTCATTCTGCAGCATGTGGAGATTAAATTACCATAGAGCCATGGGAAGCAGCTGCCATGCACCAGTGCAATGTAAGAAGCCCACCAGTGGGCATCAGTTCAAAGCAAGCCAGTTTGGTGTCGTGATTAAGAGCAGTGGACTCTAATCTGGGGAAGCCGGTTCTATTCCCTGCTCCTCCACTTGAAGCCAGCTGGGTGACCTTGGGCCAGTCACAGTTCTCTCAGCCACCCAAAATAAACCTAGCTTGCCACAAAAAGAGCTAGCGTTTCAGGCGGCCAGACAATCTTCAGATCTCCTGGCTATACTACACCCACTGCTATACTATAATTAATTACTTAGCCTTGAAAATGACATTACATAGCATAACCACCCTCTAGTATAACGTTTTAATGGAGGTACAACGCATAGGATAAGCTGATCCAATTTTGTTTGCAGATTCTCTAGCCAAAGAGCCATTGTATTGTTGGTGGGAGATTGTTGGGCTTTATATAAAACCCCATGATAATGTGTTTGAGGGGGGGGAGGAATCTATAGCTCCCAATTTATATTTGGAATTCTGTATTTAGAAAGTTAGTGGGGCGAAAACTGGACATGGGGGTCAATGGGTCACCTGGCATTTGGCACAAGGGTCACTGAGTGACACTGCACTCATCCTGCGGTATTGGCAGAGGATGACTCCTCTCTCTCAGCTGCAGGATGCACATGATAGCTAATGAGCTGAGTTATCCTGTCATTGTGTGTCCCCACCAGCCCTTGCCCTGAGCAAAGTCCAGCTCTTGCTGATGCCAAGCAGAATTAGTACTTTCAGGAATGAAAAAAAGGACTTTGTGTCCAGTGGCAGTAGGGCAGGGGGCCCCAACCTTTCTGAGCCCGTGGGCATCTTCGGAATTTTGAAAGGGGGTAGGGAGCGCCACCCGAAATGGCTTCTGCAGGAGGCGGAGCCAAACCAGAAATGGCTACTTCAGGAGGCAGAGCCCAACACAATACTTTCCTTCTTGTTTTGCAAAAGAATTGCAGAAGATTAATAAAGAGAGACAAAGGAAAGCCCGGGGAGGGAGAAAGGAGGAGGAATGGAAAGAAAGAAAGAAAGAAAGAAAGAAAGAAAGAAAGAAAGAAAGAAAGAAAGAAAGAAAGAAAGAAAGAAAGAAAGAAAGAAAGAAAGCCTGAAGCGGGAGTGAAACCGCAAGTCCGGGTGCTTACCATTTCTCTTGGTTACTTCCAGTGGCTGCAGCTGCTATTGCAGTCTGAGAAAACCCTTTCATTTGAATTAGGGCAACTGATAACAAGCCCTGCCTTAAAATGACCATACCTACATTCTGGAAAGCTTAGTGGGTGCCAGAAGTACAGGTGAGCACCATGACACTCATAGGCACCATGTTGGGGAACCCTGTTTTAGAGTGGAGGGGGATAGAGAGAGATAGTATTACTTCTAAAAGAAAGGTTCACTTCACTTTTAGTTACTTGTTTGCCCTCACCCATATTTTGATTTGTTGTATGGATTGGACTAGGCAGAGCATTTTCTTTGATCCTCCCCCTGTGATGTAATTGGCTCCATCATCAGCTTGGCTGATACCACAGTATTGCCCAGTGTCACATATAGCCCTTTTGAAGGAATGAAGACTGCCAGGTCCAAGACAAAAGAAACTCAGATATCTTGTCTGTATCTGCTTAAACCTCACAAGCAGAAGGAGAACTGTTCCATTTTGAATGTTTGTTCCAACAATAAAGTTCAGGGTCTTAGATCAGAAAGGAGGGAAGGAATAAGAGGAGGAACATCTGTGAAACCTTTTTGAGAAAAACAGGATATAAATGTTAAAATAAATTAAAATCTGTTTAGAAAAGTATGAGCACATATACACAGCATTAGCCCAAATCTCTCCTCTTTAACCCATGCTAGCCTTCTCTGTGTCTGTCTCTGCTCAAAATATTGGGATTTTTCTTCAGCTACTTTATCTTAAATTCCATGGTGTTGTCCTTGGTTCTTAGAAAAGCAAAACTTGTTATAGTCATCATGAAAGACTGGCACTCTGATCAGCCAAAAGATAATGGGGGGGGGGGGGGAACCCTCAAAAGTCATTGTGTTCTTCACAAGGTGAGAAATACCACATCCAAAAGTCAACAGATATCCATCACATTAAAGTCAAAGGATGCCGGGTCAGCATATATTTATCATGTCAGGCTTCTACAAATCTATTTGTCCCAAATTGGACTTGGACAAAGAATATTCATTTGAGTTCACTAGGTGACTTTGGGCCAGTTAGAAACTCTTAGACTCATATGCCTCACAGGCTTGTTGGGAGAGTAAAGAGCAATAGACTCATGTATACCAACCTGAGTTCAGTGGAAGAACAGTGGGATACAAATATACATGTCTAAAGTAAAGGTAAAGGTTCCCTTGCTCGAAAGCCAGTCGAGTCCGACTCTAGGGTTGCGGTGCTCATCTCCATTTCCAAGCCAAAGAGCCAGCGCTGTCCGAAGACGTTTCCGTGGTCATGTGGCCGGCATGACTAAACACCAAGGCGCACGGAACACTGTTACCTTCCCACCGAAGTGGTACCTATTTATCTACTTGCAATTTCTTGCTTTCGAACTGCTAGGTTGGCAGGAGCTGGAACTAGAGATGGGAGCTCACTCCATCTTGCGGCACACCCGGGTCTCGAACTACCGACCTTCCACAGCCTGCAGTTCAGCGTCTTAACCACTTGAGCCACCGCAGCTCCTATACATGTCTAAACATACCTGTATATCCTTTAGGAAGGGAATTACAGTACCTGGTAAAAACTGACATTCTTATAATTCCTTGTTGAAGAGTCTGAAGCCTCAAAAAGTGGGGCAGCCCCCATCAGGACCTGGGGACTGGCAACCCTACTGCACTTCTGTGTATACATTTTTTTCACCTTTCAGTCTGTCTGCCTTCCTTCCCTTTTCATCAACCTTTGAGTCTGTCTTTCCAGCATTAGACCATTCACCCACTTACTTTTTCTGACTCTTATTCTCATTAAGCCACTTCCTCACTATCTCTGTCTTCCCTTCCTTATTTCATTTGGAATTGCTGGTTTAACGCCCTGAAAGCCAACACCTTCCATGATATTTACATCTCTAGACCCATCCAACTACCTGTCTTCATCCAAACACAGCTCTTCTCCTCTGCCACTGTTACTGTTACCGGGTTCTCTTTTGGATGTCTGTCCTTTTTGCAGATATTGTACTTTGAAGGCCATAGTAATGGTATTAGTCTCCTTCTTTCAAAATTCTGTGAGTTCCATCCCATGCACACCCACCCTTGTTTCTCTCCTTCCCAGCATCAGTGGTGGTAGAAGTATCTGGCCAAAGTAGACACCATCCCTCCCTGCTCCCTGTTTTAGCAAAACAGTCATAAGTTCTTTCAGAGCTGTTCTCTCAAGGGCAGATTCCTGAGAGAGCTCTCTCAGCCCCACCTACCTCACAGGGTGCCTGCTGTCAGGAGGGGAAGTGAAAGGGATTGTAAGCCACTCAGAGACTCCTTCGGGTAGTGAAGGGCCAGGTATAAATCCAATCTCTTCTCCTTCTTAAGATACCATAGAAGATGCCTGTTAGGTGTTGTGCCACATTATCTGTTATTCTTCTGGGGGGAAAGAATTGGAATCTCTTCCCAAGCTTTCCCACCTGTGAGAACAAATATGATATGGTGTTTTCTTGACAAGGCCAAGCATATCCTTACTGCTTTTGACAGGGCATACAGCAGAATACATATCCAATTCCTGCCCCTTCTAGTTCTCTTTAGAGAAACACAGGTATACAAGGAGTCTGTCCAGAGTAAACCACAAATCCCTGAAGGATAAATGCCAA